AAATTAAGTAATGAAATGGTTTCGATGTGGGCTCGTGCTATTGTATGATATCAATTATATCATATATATTATTTCTTTATATATATGTTATTACATGAAATATTTATGTATTATACATAAATTTTTATAGATTAGTGGAATAAATGGAGTAGATGAGATTATTCCGCCTTCTATTCCAGCATTCGATAAAGATAAATATAGATTTCCAAATTCTAAACAATCCACGAATAATATGAATAAAACGAATGAATTTGGTATGAATTTTATTTATATGTTGAATTCTAAGATATTTTATGAATTCTTATATATTTTTTTTTATAGAAGTTACTTATAACAATATTATAACTAGACCAGTTATTTCAAAACTTAAAACAGTAACTATCCATACGAAGAAAAAATCACCTTACAAAACCAACATTCAAGTCATTAAAAATATGACTTTTCAAGAGCTTATAAATTATGCGTTTCCATCTGGTCCTCCATCAGATAAACGATTTATTATAAAATCGTCATTTGAATCTGATTCAACGCAATTTATACCAAGTCAAATTATAGAAGCAATTTTTTTTGATTCCCATGCGAACATTTATGTGGATTTAGAAAAAATCAATCACGATTATCTTGATCTTTTTGAAGAAGAATAATATTTGATTTATAATTATAATATAATGAATAAGTTTTATAGGACATTATTATTTTTTATAATAAATATAGGATACAGGATTTACAGTAAAAATAGATCATATATCAGTTATATTTATACTTACGTTATATTATATAGAATTAAGCGTTTCTAAAGAAGGAATTATAGGGTTTACAAAAAGATATTCGTGCTCTTATTGATCAATAGAAATCAATGATTGAAGCAGTTTAACGAAAGGTTTGTTTGAAGAATGCTTAGAAATTTATTTCGAATTGAAAATTCTGAAAATTTATTTTATTAATTTTTTGAATAGACGAGAATTAGGGGTATCCTTTTTCCACTAAACATCCGGTTGGTAAAATATTTGTATTTTAAATTAATCTGGACTTTATTCATATAATAATTTACAAAGATCACAATCAAATATTGATCATATCATAAACTACCCACGAAAAATCTTTGTAATTGTAGAGATTCTGATAGTTTTTGGTGTTGAATATGTGAAAATTGACGATTTAAAGCCGTGTTTCTGAAATAGACAAGTGGAAATAAGATTATTGATGCTTTTATTCAAGAAACTCAATTAACTATTTAATTATTTGGAATGGATACCTTTTGACAAGTTTCGTTATATTAAAACTTTGGTGAAGGAGGTTATGGATCTCTTTCAACTGCTACTTGGTTGGAAGGTCCAAAAAGTTTATAGGATGAGAAAATGCGAACAAAATGGAAAAGAGATATTCGAAAGAAAAATTTTTACGAAATTCTGAACATATTACCCAAGAATTTCTTATGAGATATGCAATAATATTATATTCTTTTTTTCATTTAACAATCTAAAACTTAATTCTTGAAATTTATTCTAGTTTGCAGCCTACTATAAAGAATTTCATGGGATAATAAACGTGGTCGTAAACCCTTGTCAAGAATACCCGAGACTGTAAGTAGTTCTTTCCAAATTTACTTTTTTTGTAACAAAATTTTGGGGTATTATCATCATATGATATGTATGCATATACGATTTTTCTTTTATATTTTATTTTATTTTATTTTTTTAGAAAAAAATATTAAGAATTTAACAAATCAAAGGGCATTTCATCGAGGAAAGGAAGATTATGTTCGCACTTTTGAAACTAAAGCTAATACTTATGAAATCCTATATACTGAAGCGTAGAGTCATATAAAATTATTATGAGAAAGATTGAGTTTGCTCCAGAAAAGACTTGATAAAGCCCAAACAAGTGAAAAATGTGATGCATTCATATATAGGCAGGCTATTGAAGAAACTCAACAGATGTGTGATAGTAATTCTTTTCGGTCAATTGAAAGGCAAAGTGATGACGAAATTCCTGTTAAAGTTGAAATAAGCGATGTTACGTATGGAGGTATGTCATGCTTCAAACCTATAAAATTAGATTTTTTAAATTGATCATAGATCACTTATCATCATTTCTACTCTATTTACCTTCTTATCCGATATACCAGGAAATCGAAACATAAGATCTTTCACATTTAACGAATATCATTCGCAAACTAATTCAGTAAAATCTGACGAATCAGTTGAAGATATAATCAGGGATCCTTTATTTTGTGATGGAGGATCTTTGTTTTTGTGAACCTGTTTCAATTGAAGATCTAACAAAAGATCCATCCAATTATCGTCGGGTAGTGATTCATTGGTAGATATTAATTTGACCACAAGCAGGAAAACGGTTGTGGATTATCCCAAATAGAGCGGTACAACTCTGACGAATCTCATTTTTTCAAATTTCATCACTTGTAGTGATTCTCAACTTTTACGCAAAAATTGCCCAACGATTCCTCACTGGATCGATCTGATACTTCAATGGCAATTATATGAAAAACAATGTTATTTTTCTCCTCCTTCACCGCCATCACCAACAGTATCTGCTATATCACCTATGACTTCAAATTTCGCTCAACATCAACATCATCCATTAAATTTGAAATGGATGTTGGGAGATAATAATAATGAAAATGGTGATTATTCCGCTTGAAAGAAAGAATCAATTTTTTTTGATTTTATGTTGTTTGACCAATCCAACTTTACTAGTCCTTTAAATACTAAAGGATATTATTTATATATATTATGTGGCAATTTTTATGAAATCTGCAGGTTGACTGACAACGGCTGCTGAATAACCAACTCCCTTATCACCTATTGGCATAGTACCAGATCTACTTCTTCGCGTGTTTCACATTTAGATGAGATCAGATATTTCAGTATGAGAAAAAAAAACAATTGATCAGATTTCTAATCGACATAATGAGACAATATGAAATCATGGATGGAAATAAAAGATCCGTCCATAAAATTAATGATGTTGTTGAAACTATGATAAAACCTTCCTCGGAGATGAGATACCTTCAAAAAGTGGATGAAAAGGTAATGAGCAAACAAAAGTTGAAACATCTTCAAAGAACATTCATAACCAATGATATGCCTCAACATTTTATTCAAAAGGAAGAATCATAATGCTATTACAGAACCTTTGTCACCTTCTGTTCTGATTTATCCGTTCATGTCATCACTTATTTCTCCGATTCAGGATCAAAATCATATTCATGAATTAGAATTCGGTATCTTCAATATCTCCAATTGACTTCATTAAATGTTGAGATTCCAGAATGATCACTTCTGAAAATTTGAAGATTTCCTTTATAGCATTCACATGATCGATCATACCTAACAACAACACCACCATCATAAGCAGCAACAGCAACAGCAGCAACATCAAATCACTTCGGCGGCAATGTTGAATTCGACTGACTAGACATATTATGTTAGTTCAAACCCTTACTCAAACAGCTCTTATAATAATGGTTTCACCATGAATTTGGATGGTTACCTTATTAACTCGTTCAGATTTGAAGGTCTTTATCCATACAGCACTCTTTGAACAACAATTCCAATGACTGCAACTTTATACTTTTCAGCTAGTCCCAATTTGGCTTTGATGATGTTACAACGCGAAATTCTTGCTCAAGTAATGTAATTGGTAATCAGCATTCATGGTGATGAAAATGAATCACAAAATCATCAAACGTTGGATCAATTGGCCAGCTGCCTTAATCATCGCCTCTCGTGATAATGGCCCTTCAATAAGTAAGAAGAATTGCAACAGATCTTATTTATTGCCTTTGAACATTTGCATCTGTTACCACAAATTCAAATATTTACTGTTTCAGTGAGATGCCTGTCGATTTTAATGTCGCGTATTCTGTCAAGTTCTCAATCTGTGGTTACGATGCCAATAACAGTATTTTCGTACTGGCATTTCTTGATGGCGTCACAAACACTATCACCGAAGGGTTCACTTTTAGAATCAATCCAACCACACTAACTTCTGAACAGTTGTTGGAAAATAATCAAATTTCTGTCTCAATTTCATAGTTACGACGAAGTACAATCTTCACTTCTGACAACGTTATTGAAAACCTAGCTCCGTACCAAGCTCTTCATCTCCACCATCTCCGAGGAGGAAGAGAAAGTTATGATGTCAAACCCTAACCCTGTTCCACTAGTACATCATCTTCTCCTTTCATCCCTGATCTGCTAAACATTAATTTGGTCAGCACGATTTACTCAAAGTGTTGCAGCTATTGTGATGAGGCCCATTATACAACAATATTTAAATTCTCCTAATCCAGCAGCATTAGGCGAAAAAGTCGTTATGGTTCTAACTTCAAAGGTTGCTCAAATCCTATGGAACCGAAAAGGTTTGTTGTGAAAGTCTCAATTTTGAACAATTAATAATAATCAATGGAATTTACGCATATAATTATAAATTCTCATTAATAATAATTACCATTATTTGTTGTTTAGATTTTATACCCCCTCCTACTACGTTTATTTTGGGATCAAATTGGTGGTCTGTCACCGCTCAATCATAATGTTAGATATTCAACATCTTTTAGCCCACCAAAGATTTCTTGGAAATTTCAGGCGAACAGAGACATCAAAAAGGAATCCTTGAATGAATTAGTCCCTCATTTGATCCAAATTCATGCTTCGAAATGGCTTTCAGCGGGAAATGTGTTTCAAAACATTCGTATATTACGTATAGTAAGGATAATACTATATGAATTTTTTATTTTTATTTTTATTTTATATGTAATTATGCAATATATGTAATTAAGATATGGTATGATAAGATTCAAATAAATGTTTTTATAATTTAAAATTTAAAATTTATTATATAATGAAATTGTTATAGCATATATAGTATTTCGTAATTATAGAAATTTCGTGTTGTGACAAAAATTGTGACCCATTGATTACTCCAATAAGGTTCATCTCTTCCGGACTTAATTCTGAACACATTATATAAGCGCATTACCTATGTAACGTAATAAGAATGAAGTCTTACAAAGAAACTTTTAATTTATGAAAATTTTTTGGTGAAAACTTCGCGATGATATAAAACAATTCATACTCCAAATTAAACTTTTTGTACCATCCGTATTCACAAACGAGTTTAATGCTTTCTACGTTTCATATCTATCACACTTGCTTTCAATGATAAATTCTTCTGCTGTGATAGATTATTATTTTTATCTGTCATAATATAAATCATTTTAGTCATCAAGAAAACTAAATTAAATCAATTTATCCTCTTTCTTGCTCTCAGCTTTCTCCTTGGTATTTAATATCTTTGTACATGCTGGTAACGCGTAATTACCACTTTAAAGATATATAATTATAAATACCCCGCATGTTGAAAACATGCTTTAGCTAATGTATCTCCAATTGTCATACAACTAAAATTCAATGCATCAATTGGATTTTCTAAAGATTCTACCCAGCTGCGATTTTGACGTAAATAATTTTTAATATAAAAAAAACTTTGTTCAATCTGTAATTTATTTATTATTAGGTTAATATAAATTTATTTATATTATTATAGTAATATAATTAAAAATACTTACTGGATTAAAGTCGGGAGAGTATGGAGGTAAATATTCAAGTCGAATTCCTTTTTCCTCACATAAATCACGTAAATATTGGCTTTTGTGAATAGATACATTATCTAAAATTAATACACTATATTGTGCAGGATATGGTGACATTTTTGGAAGCTTTTATAAGAGATATTTTAGATTTTGTAATCCAGATCTTTAAATATTTTTTACTAAAAAAAAAAAAAAAAAAAAAAAAATACCAAAATATTTTCAACGAAATTTAAATAATCCTCAGAGTTCATTGGACCTTCTTGGATTCCATATGCTAACAAACCATTTATACATAATGCACCCTCTATTGTAAATCGTTGTCCTCTAACAAAAAATGTGGGTTTTCTTGCACGAAATCCACTAATATTCCATCCATATCGTCGTGATAGTGTCCTTTTGTCATAAGAAGATTCATCTGAAAATACTAATTGATTTGGTAAATATTGAGACATGCGTAAAATAAAATTAATACGGTCATTATTATTTCTTTCTTGTGCAGGTTTTGATAACTACATAAATAATAACAATCATTGTGAAAATTACTGTAATAAATGTAAAAATTAATAAATAAAAGTAAATAAAATACATAAATAATAAAATACCTGCTTATGCGTGTAGCCTAAACGATGAATTGCTCTCCATACTGTACTAAGGGTAATATTTCGTTCCAACCAAAGCTCCATTTGAGATTGTAATTCCCAAATATACCAGTCAATTTTTTCTTTAAGAAGTGTTTCCAGATATTTCATATCATTATAGCTAAAAATCCTTGGTCTTTTACATAAAGATGGAAGGTTTTCTATACATCCATATTTCTTAAAATGATAATAAATACGGTGTACTGTTGATTTGCTAATTCCTAAATGAGTAGCAATTTGTCGTTCTGAAAGACCACCTAAAGATTTTTCAATAATTTTCCAACGAATATGGAATGAATATTTAACCATTGTGTGGGTGAGTGGGTATATCTGTACACAAAGGCTGTGTGGGTGTATGGTAAATTACTGTAATATTTTTTATTTGTTTATTATAATAAATAAAATGTGACTGAATGCGACTGATGCGACTGAAATATTTTTTGATTGGTCCAAAAATTATGAAAATAGCTGTAATACTAAGAATGTGAGGAATTGATACTTTCCCACTAAAGTTAATAACATTGGTTAGATTATTTTCATTTTCTCTGAAATCAGTCTAGGAAAACATAATTTTTTGTTTCTCCGAGATACCGATAGAAAGTTAAAAGATATTATTTTTGATATTAATAAAAATACTTTCATTATTCATTTTGATATGATAATATCCAGCGTTTGGGTTGTACAAAATATCATATCTAAAACTCGTAATATGGGTGTAGTATCCCTTATGATCGGTTTGCTCGTGAATAGAGTTATTGAAAGAAAGCATGGAACTGAGTTTTGGTCATTTTCTACATATATAGAGTTTCATAAAAAAGTTACTTTAGTTATTAATTGACATCCTTTATGAAGACATCCATCATTTATTTGCAGTAGGTTCAAACTCACTAATATTACTAATATTAGAATGTGATAAATCAATTGAACATTGTTTTAAATAATAACTTCAAAATTTTTTTTCTAGAAAGGGGAATATAGCCATTTGATTTAAAATTATTTTATTTATCTGTTTCCTTTTGATAAAAGCACAATACAAGACAACCCCCAAGGTTAGAATTCGCACCTTTCCATATTTTTAAACTATTTTTTGGTTGAACGCTATAATAACAAACTTACACTAAAAACTTACGCCTTGTTCTTAAAAAAACCTAAAAAACGGGTTTTCAGGTTGCGCAGATCGCGATGAACTTGTGCACTGTTACAAAATCGGGATTTTCGTATATGGTCACGTAATTTGGTAAATCGTACCCTTAAAGGTTAAGACCCAGTTGAATAGCGTCTAACTAAAACGATGGTTTTTTTTTACATTATTGACTATATCTGACGTAATTTGAAAGAAAAAACAATACTAAATAAATTTAGGATAGTTTTTTTTCGATCACATGATCATATCCCCGAGAAAATGATTAATACGAATCGAAAAAATGGGACAGATAAATATTAAACCTTTAAAATTTAGGAAATGATGGTATGGACTGGGAAACATTATATTTATTAAAAGACCACGAACAATCTTTCTTATTTGTACGTTTATAATATAAAAAATTTTTGTTTATTAAATTTTAAAAAGAGCACCATTATGCTTACATAGAAAGTTTGCTTTTAAATAATTTTTTTTTCCGATTAATAAAATAACAAATTTTCTTATGATTATTGGTAACTTCCATATGAAATCTTCACCTTGATCTTTTGGAACAAAGAGAATAAGATCGACAATTAATACTTTGTGATTTTTTGCGATTCAATAATTACTACAGAGAATATTTAAATGATTTTTTTTTACCTCTATAAAATATTTAAGTATCTTCATCGGAAAATCAACATAATTTATTGGCTTTGCGGTTGATTGATGAGGACGTTTTTTAGGTCTCTCTGAGACTTCCTTAGTCTCCACACACTCATCGTCATCGACAACAGTCATCAGATAATTACCTTATTTTTCACCCTAACGTTTTTCCCTTTACCTCGATTCTTCTTTTTATCAAGGTTCTCATTATCTTTTTGAATTAATGAGATTAATTCTTCAATATCTTCTTTAACATCAAAAGATTTATCAATTGACAATGATGCTCTTTTCCTTTTTCCCACGTCATCAACCGATTCAATGGGTAATGATCGTTTCTTTCCCACGTTATCAACCGATTCAATGGGGTTCTTTCCCAATATGTCGTCAACCAATTCAATGGGTACTGATCGTTTGTTTGATCGTTTCTTTCCTAACATGCCATCAAGTGGTTCCTCAGTAGGTAATGATATTTTCTTGGGTTTAGTAAGTTTAGTGGGTTTAGTGGTTTTAGATAATGTGATCTCGGTGATTTCAGCAGGTTTTATTTGGACATCCCTTGTTTTAAATTGCGTCTGTTTTAGAATTTCCTGAAATTTATTTAA